GAATGATAGTGTATGTATAAGAACTTGGTATAGCCACACAAAAATTCATGGGCATTCACTAAGAGTATAAATATAATTCTGTACAATATCCATTATTAAAGTGGCCATTTATTACCCTAACATACTGAAGAGTTAATGCCAAAATGTGAACATATTAAAGAATGGATGCCAAATGTTTTCCAGTTATCCTAACAGTTGGTGCATAGCTAATTTAGCCTAGCCTATATCCTCCTGCTTGTTCAAACTCGGGTTGCCACCCGTCCCTTAAAATACGGAATCATTTGAGAATGAAATTGCGTGTTTTGAATCAATACGGGCGGGTTCTGACCTATATTTTTTATTATTTTTTTAAAGTAGCTTTTCATGCACACGCATTTTATGAAGATGCCTCAATTCCTACTTTTGACTGGGTAATACTTGATGTCATCGTTAGTTTGATTGGACTTTGTCCAGAGGAGGGCGGGTCTTTAAAAGCAGAGTCTGTCAAGTCTTGACAGAGAGTAATGGCAGATGCTTCTCCAGCGTCTTAGGGTTTAAACGCAAGCGACTGCAAAAGTACCGCAAAGAATGGGAGGAAACAGATACCTGGCTGCAGAGTGTTAGAAATTGTTATCAAGCCAACTGCTTGATTTGTCGGAGAGCATTCTCTGTAGCTCATGCGGGTCTGTTGTGCGACAACATGCCTGCGGAGAGCAGCATTCCCGCAATGTTAGAGCTCACAAAAATCAAAGCACAGTCAGACAGTTCTTCGTACCCCAAGTCTCTTCCGAAGCAGACATGGTAATGACAGTGACCCAGTCTGTGAAAATCTAGCTGGAGTCATGTTTTTTTTTTTTCTTCTTTTTTTTGTAATTTACTGTTTTCTACATGAAATAAAGAACAGTCTCTGAAAATAAAAAAAATAAAAAATATATGGATTTAATAGTAGCTGAGTAAAACAATGTCAACAACTGAAATAAATGGCTACAGTCAAACTTTATCTCAGAATTAGATCTGGCCTGATTTTCACACACTGGGTCACAAATTGCAATTTGTAAAAATTCTGTAAATACAATGTAAGTGGATTATATTCCAATGCAATATTATGACTTGTTTGTTAAGGTTAAGTCAGACACATAAGCATTAATTTATTACATGAAGGATTACATTTAATACATTAACAACCAACATAATGCCATTGTAAGGAAGATAAACTAGTAAATTGCAACTTTCCATATTTTTAAATTAGAAATATGCTATTTGAAAACTTTACTAGCTAATGTTTCTAGCAAGTTTATGTAGGCCTATGTGCTGTTTCCATGTTTGGATAGGTGTTACTGCAAATAATGACAAATATTTTAGCCAAAATCTGGTATCAATTCCAACATTTAAAATTAGGTTTATTAGTTTTTTCTTTTCTCCGTTAGGTTACAGCAGCTGAGTTAACTCAGGTGTACCACATTATTAAACATAACATCAGCTATATCAGTGCTGCAGAGTTGTAAAAGAGAAAGACAGACTGCATCTTTTTACACTGATTTCAATAAAAGACTATTTAATTTATTGTAATGTCCAAGTGTTCATACTTTCCTGAAAACATATTTTTAAGTTGTGATTTACCACCACTAACATGCTATTGGGCCTGTGATTGGGGATGTGGCCCCAGCTGCAGTATGAGTCCCTTATTTTTTGTATTAAAAGTGGTAATCCTAGTTCAAACTCTCTAAGAAACAATTCACAAACTATCCCAAACATGTACCAGATAAAGACATTTACCATCAGTTGTCTCCAAGCAGACTGTTCCTGTAAAAAAGCTAGCATGCGATGCTCCATTGTATTCACCCAGCTGGTTAATAAGAGGCATGTAGTGTAACTGCAGAGCCCAGCAGGCAGCTAGCGGTACTGCATCAACAAACATCTCAAAGAAACAATTCACAAACAATCCCACATGTGTACTAGAGGAAGACATTTACTATCAGGTTTCTCCAAGCAGACTATTTCTGTAAAAAAAAAGTTAGCATGCGTTGCTACATTGTATTCATCTAGCTGGTTAATACGAGGCACGTTGTGTAACTGCAGAGCCCAGCAGGCAGCTAGTAGTACTGCATCAACAAACATCTCCAAGAAACCATTCACAAAAGATCCCAAACATGTACAGGATGAAGACATTTACCATCAGGTTTCTCCAAGCAGACTATTTCTGTAAAAGGCTAGCATGCGTTGCATCATTGTATTCATCTAGCTGGTTAATAAGAGACATGTAGTGTAACTGGAGAGCCCAGCAGGCAGCTAGCGGTACTGCATCAACAAACATCTCCAAGAAACAATTCACAAAAGATCCCAAACATGTACAGGATGAAGACATTTACCATCAGGTTTCTCCAAGCTGACTATTTCTGTAAAAGGCTAGCATGCGTTGCATCATTGTATTCATCTAGCTGGTTAATAAGAGGCATGTAGTGTAACTGGAGAGCCCAGCAGGCAGCTATCGGTACTGCATCAACAAACACCTCCAAAACGCCTGCCCTGATTCCATTCACCCCAATGGAGGCTCCATTCACATGTTTTCAAAACACAAGCTAATTCCTGAGGGTTCAAGTGCTGCTGGCTCAGCAATTACAGCCTGTACCTTTAATTAGCTTGCTCCACACTGTACAGGCAAAGCTCAACGTCGCACACAGATGCTTGTAAACACACAACTGTCACATAAGTAAGGGAAAGCCTCTCATGTGGCGGTCTCCCTCTTTGATTTGGAGTCCTGTGGCTCTTTGCCTCCTCATCCAGAGAGAGAAGCGCTGCACTGTCACAGGGCGGCAATCCAGCACGACGTGTTGGCGCTGATATCAAAAGCGACAGGGAAATGAGCTGTAGTGCATCATGAGCGGTCTGCAGGCGCGAGCTGTACTGATCGCTGAAGGAAGTCTGTTAGACAGGGGCCAGAAAAACACATCACAGATATACGAGGGCATTCCAGCAGAAAAGAGCAGGAATTTAATCTTGCCAGTCCTGCTACATCATCTTCTTCTTGCTGAAAAGGGCTAGCGTTTTTCTGCTATCAGGAGCAGAATCAAGATGGGGATGAAAGTGTGAGTGTGCTTTTAAGGGATTTAAAAGTCAGTGTATCTGTTCACCTTTGATGGATCGAGTAATGGAAATGGTTTGACTGAAAATTTCAGTCATACGTATCTGGTGAAAAGATCAGTAAATTTTGTGTTTTGGATGTAGGTTTTCAGAATAAGATGGGTAGCAGGTCTGGGCCGATAAACGATATTATATCAAATAGTGATAAAATTTATGTCAATAACAATGATAAGCTCTTGACTGTTTTACTCTATATTGGTCTAAGAGCCAATCACACAGCAGAAATGTGCAACAATGGGAATCTAAAAGTGCATTGATATTAGAGACTTTATGGGACAAAATTATGTTATGCCATTTAATGGACCCTCTATTTTTTATTGCTTCAGTCAATATACAACAAAATAAGCATAAAAGTATCTAAAATACATAAGATACAAGATAAAATATAGCTAAAATACCTAAAAAGGCATATGATTTTAAAATAACCAGTTATAAATATAAAATGCCAATGAAAAAAAAAAGAGTTTTAATAGCGGATTTAAATTAGAGCACAGAGTAGGCCTGTCTATTGTTAGAAGCTAATCATTCTAAGGTCTAGGACCTACCACAGCAAAAGCATGCACTTTGTTTTTGGCACAATCAGGAGAAGCACCCGACCTGAGAGAACGAGTAGGCTTATAGGGGTGCATCAGCTTAGAGATATAAAGCGGGGCAAGACCATGTAGAGATGTAAAAACAAATGAAATAATCTTAAACTGTATTCTAAAACTCTGGCAATCATTGAAGCGAAGCTAACATGTGGGAAATGTGGTCATATTAGTGAGTACCAGTTAAGAGGTGTGCTGCAGCATTTTGCACCATTTGTAACTGGGCAATAGCTGACCTGCTACATACTCCCCACATACAGTGCATTACAGTAATCTAACCGAGTGGTCACAAAAGCATGGATTACTTCAGTGGTCCTCAACTTTTTTATCACCACAGATCGGTCCATGCTTGACAGTTTTACCGTAGAACAGAGGTTTCGGGGGGGTTGTAGGTTGCAAGGATCAACTGTTTCTCAAAGGATGACAAGCTGTAACTCTGATAAAGGGTTTATTTATGTAGAAAATTACAAAGCACTGCAGTGTTTGGGTGTTCTGTTTGTCTAAAAATAATTTGTCTACCGAAATTCCATACAAGTTGAATGTTAAGTTCTTGTCACGTGATTGCGGCATTCATTCAGCTGTGTGTGTTTGGAAGAGGCAAGTATGTTAAGGCTGATTTTCACGCCGCTTGCGCACGTAAGCCGCACACCTCTATTGGAAATCATGAACTTGCGAGAATGAAAGAAGTGATATGCGAACATCCCCTAAAAGGCTAGCTTCATTTGCGATCTCCAGCAGTTGATCTTCATGCACAGATATAGTGGATTCACCTGATTTGTTGACAAATGGGTTGCAGATCAATTCCTTGGCAGTTCGTGGGTCCTTTAGGCTTTTCCCCTTCACAAAGAAACTTTCCAAAGACATCTGTTTCTTACTCATTTTGCTGCTTGTTGGTTAAATTTGGGCGCTCAAGTGATCGAAATGTAAGCAAGAGAATATGGTCATTTTTCAAAATGAAAGATTTTTCAAAATAAAAGATCATTCAGATTTAAATAATAAACATGACAGAAAAAATTTATGATTTCTTGTGCGGCCCGGTAGCAATTGATCCACGAACCGGTACCAGTCCATGGCCTGGTGGTTAAAGACCATTGGATTACGGTCTCAAACTGTTGTTTTGGTAAATATTGCTTTATTTTTGCTAGTTGTTGCCACCTACTGACCTGGCATGCATTTTTACAGCAACCTTGAATGCTATTTTCAATTTGAACCTATGAACTGAATTCAACGAGAAATTTGTTTTCATCAATCTTTGATTGAACTGAATTGAAAATGTTTTGTCTCCCCCTGCAGGTTCTACTGGGACTTGATAATGCTCATCATGATGATGGGGAATCTAATTATCATTCCTGTGGGAATTACCTTCTTTTCCGAGCAAACCACCACCAGCTGGCTCGTCTTCAACGTGGCGTCGGACACCATCTTCCTGGTGGACCTGGTCATGAACTTCCGAACGGGAATTGTCAATGAGGAAAGCTCGGAGATCATCCTGGACCCAAAGGTCATTAAGATGAACTACCTGAAAAGTTGGTTCGTGGTAGACTTCCTGTCCTCCATCCCGGTGGATTATATCTTTCTAATAGTGGAGAAAGGCTTCGACTCAGAGGTCTACAAGACGGCCCGAGCGCTGCGCATCGTACGCTTCACCAAAATCCTCAGCTTGCTCCGTCTTCTCAGGCTTTCACGCCTCATCAGATACATCCACCAGTGGGAGGAGGTGAGGGGACAGCGTGTGTATATGTGTGTGTGTGTGTGTGTGTGAGTGAACAAACTCTGACGCAGATGGCCTTTAGTAACACGTCTTGGATTTGCTAGCTTCCAATATGAGATGCTAGTTGACATTTTGCGCGTTTTGGTGTGTGCGCGTATGTGTTAGGCCTAATCGACCCAAGGTGCTTTGAGCTCAGGTGTTATTCTGCAGCACACAACCCTCTGACGCACACTCTTTAGAGGTGAAGAGGCTTATTTCGGGGGTTAAGGTAGGCATATATTTCGCTTAGCCCTCAGCGACACCTCAAGAGCTGCATTGGGGGTGTGAGAGCGGGAAAGAGGAACCGAGCTCTTCAGCATTGCAAGAGCAGCTGAGCAAAACTATTAACTGCCTCGGTGTTCAGGCTACAGCACTTCACTCCCACCTCTGTCTGAGACACCCCAAGCTAAAATTTGAAGCATTAATCATGCTGTTTGCAAGCCCTCCCCAACTGGCCGGTTTCTCAAGAGCGATGTTGCACTTTAAGGTCACTTTCGTCAGAAAAAACACTGCATGCTTCTGCTTCCCACCTGCTATTATCCCTAGCCAATTGTACAGCAAATTGCAGCTTATGTTATGACAGTTAACTAAACTCCGACAGCCCTTTCTCGCTGCTATAGATTTGTTTCATAATAAAAAGAGATTGAATTTGTATGATACTGTTATATGAGGTTACGTTTTTAAATAAGCACTGTTGGTTCCAAGCTGAACGTTTATGATCAGTTGAACTTTCTGATTGTTTAAAAATGGTGATGCACAAACTCTTATCAATGAGGCACCAACTTCATCCGATCTGATGATAAACTGCTTCCAAATATCAAAAAGAAAAATGAAATTTGCTGTGGTTGAAGAAGCCACTGTGGGCCTTTTTAAAATAAAATAAAATACTTGCGCCTCAGAAGACGAAACGCAATGAATGCGCTGTGGCTTTTGGAGGGGAAGCTTTTTAGGAGCGCAGATGCTCAAGACAGGTAATAATATAAACTATTTTGATGATGGACTATTGCTAAGGCATTTTTTGGCCATATCGCCTAGCCCTAACACTCTGTAGCTTTTGAGGGTAAGAGAAGCTTTTTGGGAGCCCAGCCGCTCAAAACAGTTCTGGGGGGTAGTAATACTAAACTATTTTGATGATAGAATATGTATAAAGCATTTTAGAATGACCAAAACAACATTTCAGATGTTTTACAATGTGCTTAGTCCAATGCTTTGGTCAGTCTACTGGTTTGTTTATTAATATAGTTCCATCATGCCCATTTTAAAACAAAATCACATGACTCTCTGATGCTCATACTCACGGTAAATGTGTTTCCACCATAGTTTATGTGCATTTAAAAATGACCCTAATCAGTTTAAAAGTAGTGATTTACTATATATTGGCATATCAGCCAATAAATGCTTGCTTTTAATGTTATCTTTAGCCATGTTTACATCCAAAGATGTGATTCAGACTTATGCGCAAAATTAGAACATTGCAAAACAAACTTTTGTGAATAAAGCCCCGTTCCCCCGTTCCATTCAATCTGTGAATGAGAACAAAATCGCCACTTCATGATAAACTGGTGGCAAATATAAAAAAAGCTAAATGAAATTTGCTATGGTACAACAAGCCACTGTGAACCTTTTCATTTAAATCAAATAAATTACTTGCACCTCAGAAGTCACAATTACAACTCGTGGTGGCTATTGGAGGCAGGGCAGATAGGTTTAATTTATTTAGCCTATATAGGCTATTAAATTATATTTAATTTATTTATTTGAAATATATTAATTTAAATTACAAGCTGCATTTTACCATTAGTTTTGGAACATTAAACTGAGCTTTGTAAAAAAAATTTGTATGTAGGCCTACAGTCAAAAATGTAATACAAGAGCTATGGCTGTGGCGAGTCGGCAATACTGTCTAAAATGAAACAATTTCTTATATCAGAAAACAATAAACACAATTATCCCAGGTGCAGCATCGTACTAGATTTTAGCAAATATGAACAAAACACCTCCACCTTCCACAGAGATAACAGGCTAGCTGTGGTTAGTCATAACATTCTGTTTCCTGAGTCGCGCATTTCTAAAGGCCATATCTGTAACCAATAAGCAAGGTAAGCTGCCGCTTAGGGTCCCAGGATATCCGAGCACCCCCAAATAAATACCTAGAAGTAATAATTATACCGATAAATTATATATAACATCATTTTCTATCATATTTTGTAACATTAGGGTCTAAAATCATTTAAGGGTCTTTACATCTGCGCAAATGTGTCCCTCAATCATGAAGCAGTTCAGCAGTCAAATCAGGTAAAGATTTAGTTTTAAAAACCAAATACTTTATACATCATTTTTAGTTGTGAATTCATTTTAAGAAAACAAATTATTTAAAAAGTTTTACAAGATGCTTCACATGTTGTTAGGATCATTTTGCATTAAGACAAAATGTAAAAAGGAGATGATATACGAAAAAAAAAACAGCAAAATAAATCAATTTAAAATGAATTAAAGGACAAAAGGGGCACTTTAGCACTTTTGGGCTGAATTCTGGAATTGCTTAGGGCCCCCAAATCACTAAATCTGCCCCTGATTGGAGGCACGAGAACCTTTTTTAGAGCTCAGTGGTTTGTTCAGTCCCATCATGCCATAAAAAAGTATAAATAAATCACATGAATTTTTCTGAAGCACATGCTGGAATTTATAAGTTAATTGTGTTTGCACTATAGTTCATCTACATTTTTTCTTATCACATAAAAATAGATTTTACTGAGTTGAGCTCATGTATTTTATGCACATTTTCAAAATATGTGCATCTTGGTGTTTATGATATTCCAAAATGCATGGAATATAGCTAGAATCAGCCTGATAAGAAAATAAATGACCAGCTGTTGTTTAATAAATTCATTATAACTCTATACATTATGGATTATTTCCCCTGCTTGATCTGGCTTCAAAACATAAGGAGTTATTAGTTTTTGGTATTAGCCAAAATGTCTATAATATAAAAAATCCACCTTTGTTTTGGACAATGGAAGGTTAAAAAAAGATCCAACCTCAGGTGCTTCTAGGAGACTTGGCAGCTCTGAAGGAGAAAGAAGAGATCAGTCTTTGTTTTTGTGCGCTGTGTGTCATTAAACTCCTAAAGCCAGTTCATCTTCCTGTTCAGCTGGCAGACGCCCAAGCCAGGACAGGTAGAGAGCAGAGTCGACACTTTCTGATCCAACTTAATTGAAATACAGATGTACCTCTCAGGGGGAGGAAAACAAACTAATGTGGCGGACAGTAATCATGGTTAATTCAATACTTTTGTTTTCTGCTGCACATCTACCATTATATTAGCTAAGACAAGGACTGCCAGTGAAGATAGAGAGCTCCACGAACTAAGCATAAAGCATGTTGTGGTAAAAAAAAAAAAAAAATGGTCCAACATGATGCCAAGTTTTGTGTGATTGCTTAACTGTGTTGTTTCGAAGGGATGGTTTTCAGCATGCTTGTTTTGGTGGTTTCTTGCAAACCAAAACCAAAGCCAAAGAGCCAAAACCAAAGAGGTGCCTGTATTATACATCGATGAGTTTCTGAGCATATGACAAACATGCTGAAATTGCTGAAAAATTATATTACATTTATTATATTACATTTAATTACATTACATTTCATAATATTGTTATAATATTTGCCAGTAGTGGAAATATTAGCTTGAACATGCAGTGATTTGTATGTATAAGTTGGTTTTTGAGGCAAATTCTCATAAAGGGCATTGTTTTTGTCCCCTGCCTGTTCATATAATATTACTAGCACACCTCTCCTCAAAATACCTCACAATTTAAGTTGTCATTTATATATAAACACTAATTGTTTGGGATTGATAGTATCTTATAGTTTTAAGAGTTCACACTTAGATATTGCTTGATATAAATACCAGGTTTTGCATGCAGTTCCATGAGATGCTTGAGCCCAGGGCTCCCGCCGAGTCAATTAGCATGTAAAGGGATACGAGATAGTTCTCGAGAGCTCCTCCTGATAAAGGAGGAAAGGGGGAGATGGGGTGGATGGAGGGATTCTTAAAAAAAAACAAAGATGAGGGAGTAAAGCTAGTCGGGCTATTTATAGTGAGTTTGGAATGATCTGATTATTAATGATTACAGACGAGAGAACGGCTGTGTTCAATCATATCACGTCCCCTTCTCGAAATTAAGCTGCGGTCACACTGGACTTTTCTCCCCCTAGACTTCGCTGCGTTGCAAAGATCAAGCTTGGTAAACTCTAACCTGCGAAATCGTGACTGTGTGAGACCAATCGATGATCAAAACATGAATTTTCTGGACAGAAATGTAAAATAGAATCGCTTGCTTTTTTAAAATGTCTAAACATCTTGTTTAATCCCGCCCCGTTTCGCAGCCCTGTATGACAAGCTTTCCCCGTTCGCAAGCTTAAACTCTAGTGTGACTGCTGCATAAGTTTGTGAAACTTTACTTAATATCACATTCTAAAACTAACATTTTACCACACCTGTTAATGGTGAGAACATTTACTAGCCATAAATATATATTTTTTGGGCCATGATCTGATTTCAACAATTATTTAACTATTATTAATACATAAAAATATTGTTTTTGTTTGCTTTAAAACCATAAAGCTTTTATTTAGGAGGACAGCCATAGCAAAATACATTTAAAACTCTTTAAATTTAAGTTTTTTTAAATTTGAAACATAAATTTATATATAAATTTGAAACATATATATATATTTATATATATATCAGAGATGCCCAAAGTATGGCCTGTAGGCCAAAGTTGGCTTATTGTTACCTCTGATTTGGCCCTTCATCCCATCTGAGAAGACAGTGAGAATGATAGAGAGGGTTTGGGAATAAGCCCTTCATCATGTTTAATTTGACATAACATTGTTTGTTTTATTGCCGAGATGCAAAAACAAAAAACAAAAAACAAAAAAGCAAATGGGTCAATGAAATGTTGTGAATG